TCAAATTAAAATTATTAAAAATAAACTGAGTGAGTAATTTATTGCAATAATTTGAGCTCATATTTTCTTCTTCTCTTTTTACAATTATTCCCAAATAATCAAAACGCCTAAAAAATTTTATTTTATCTTAAATGAAGATGAAGATAAAATTAAAATTAATAATAATAGAGAGGACAAAAATTTTAGGCAAAAATTTAGGACGAAAATTTAAAATTAATGATATGACAAAACTATATCATTAAATTAGTTAAATGTATATAATATCACGAATATAAAAAAATAAAAAAAACTAATCATTAAATAATATAAAATTTATTTTTTAATATTTTAAATGATATAATTTATACCATCTCATTAGTTCCAGATTAATCTTAGATTCTGGTACCATTTACCATTATTCAATTAAAATACTACGATATTCAAGAGAAGAAAACGCTAGCAATTGTACCGCGTCTCCTGGTTGACTGGGCATAAACTGAGCCACTCCCATTAGAAAGGGGAGAAGAAAACAAACATTTACCGCCGCTAGTTAGGTAAATACATATGATCGAACTAAACAATTAGAACAAACGTTACAGACAGATTAATTATGTTTCCTTACCCATCCAGTTAAGAATCTTTATTACAAACAAGCAGCTTTTCATCTGGTCAGAACTCGTTTGCAGTGAGGACTAGGTCTAACTTCTCGAACAAGGTGACCCAAGAACTTGGTCCAAGATTAAGGCACAATAGACTAAGAGCTGCTTGTTCCCACAGAAAGACATTTTTTTGGTAGTTAGAAGCACAAAAATCTTCTGAACATACAAAACACTATTAGACAGGATGATGGTTCAGATATACAAAAGGAAAGAGGGATGAAACTACAGTGTTCACTATCCTCTTCCAAGTACACATTACAATTTCATTCCAAACCCTTGAGACCCACCAAAAAATTGTTTTTTTCTAAAGCAAAAGGAGTATACCCTTTTCTCTAGCTAATTGGTCTTCCAGACAAAAATGCTGTTAAGGATCCCTACTTTCAATACCAGCT